CTTCATCTTCCCCAAACGACCCCTCCAGCTCTAAACGACCACGTCCATGGCTGACCTCCGCCTCACACTCACCACGACCACGTCCAGCAACTACCCTCCAGTCCAAAATGAGACCAGCCATCCGAGGTCTTGATCAGTCATGCGTCGAGGCAGTGCATCGAGGTTCCGTCTGAGTTTGTGTTTGTTAGTCAAGCGTCGAAACAGTGTTGTGAACGAAGCTGTGTTTCATCGGAAGTCCAGCAATGTTCGACGTCAGATCGTTAGCATAAAGGTCAGCCATAGCTCGTTCACGGATTTTTTTTTGTTTTTCTTTCTTTTGAGTTTCGTTTTCACTGTGCGTAATGGAGCAAGAAAGTGTAGTAGTAAAGGTCATATTTCTTACCTCGAATCTATGCTACTCACGGATCTATTTGTGGTTACGTTTTAATGTGGGTTCATTTTGATAAAGCTTTTGCATGAAGTATCCTACTGTATATTCGTTGAAATTGTATGTGTATGTGTTTTGACGACTTTCCTACTGTTTTGAGTTCAATTGATGATTGTGTTTAGTGATTTGGATATACTTGGTTGTTCTGTTAAGTTTGTTCTGATATGAATTTGGCCTTGTTGAATTGTCCTAATGTTGTTGATTGGGAGTTAGTTTTATGTGTTTTATTAGTCAATTGTTAGGATTTCTCAATTAAGATTGGTTATAGATGTTATAGTTTGGTTAATTGATTAGGAGGATTGGATATAGCTGATGGGGCAGAATGGTAATTTCAATAGTTTCAGAGGTATTTTGGGATTTAAAGTTGTAAAAATGATTAATTTGAGTGCTCTGTCCACTAAGCACTAATAATATTAAAATAAGGCATTATTTAATACATAGTGGGGGACAAGACATTTGCTAGTGGGGAACAAGGCATGCAAGTGAGGGGAACAAGGCATGCAAGCGTGGGGAACAAAACATAATGGTATGAAAATCTTAAAAAGGATTGATTAAAATATGTTGCCCATACCTGTTTTTGGGTTATAAATAGGGTCATTTCAAGACAGAAAAGGGGCTGGGTTTATTGGAGGAGAAAAAATTAGTTCTCTTTCAGTCTTTTTTCAGAGAGTCTAGGTTGGATTTTTAACATTTAAAAGTTCAGTAATTTGAGAGTAAAAAACAGGCTGGTTTTTTATCCAAAAGGTTCCGTGTTTGGAGAGCTAAGAAACTAAAAAGTGGGTCTTTTCTTTTACTGCTGAATATTAGAACTAGTACTGTTGTTGTTTGGTATTTCTGGGGTTTCAATTGGTTCTTCCTGAGTTTGCTATTGGTTATTGGCTACTGTTTTCATTGGGTGTTGCTGGAACTCTGCTGGTTGATTCCTTTTTTTAATCTGCCACTTGGTTGTTCTGTCACTGCATTGTTGTGTTATTACTGTTGTTGACTGCTCCTTCATCTTCTTGTATTTCCGTTATCCAGGTACACGTTCTACAGCTCTCAAATCTAAAGGAAAGGAAGTAAAGAGTTGTTGGAATGGATTTCTGAAAATAACTGTTTCTTTGTGTTTAATTTGATGTATAAGCAGTAGTTCACTTGATATTTCATAGTATGTATTGGAATGACTTTGAAATGCATAANGCCCGAACTTTTAATGCTAATTGATTAGGATTTTTCTTTATTCTTAGAGACCAATAAATAGAAAATCATAGTCGCTTTAGGATATCCTTGGATAAAAATGAGATGAGCCTCGCGGAATGAAAAAAAATACAAAAATTGCGGGGCTCTCAATAAATATTTATTTTTAAAATATTTAGACTTAGGAACGGGACGTTTAGCGAATTTCACGGCCTTCCCCAAAAGATAATAACACGCAAGTCACTTCCGGCGCGCTTTAAATAATTTACTCTCTTAAACTCGGGTGCACATTTATGTGACCCAAATCCAAATCTCAACGAAGTCGAAATGTGTCGCTAATCACGGGTACATTGATTGTGACGTGGTTCGAGATGCATTTCCACGACGTAGCAAATTCCTTTTAAAAATAATGAATGAGACGAGCCTCGACAAACANCACGCTAATCGCTTTAGGCGCGTATTTAATAATGTTATCTTCTTAAATTCGGGTGCACATTTATGTGACCCAAATCCAAATCTCAACAGAGTTGAAATGTGTCAATAACCACGTGTGCATTGATGTGACGTGGTTCGAGATGTATTTTCACGATGTTGCAATTCTCGGTAAAAATAATAATAATAAAAGCGGTACACAGTTAAAATTTGCACATAGGTTCAACATGTATTAAAATCAGGTAAATAAGCCGAATATGACAGTTGAGCGACCGTGCTAGAACCACGGAACTCAGGAATGCCTAACACCTTCTCCCGGGTTAACAGAATTCCTTACTTGGATTTCTGGGTCGCGGACTGTAATACAGAGTCAATCTTTTCCTCGATTCGGGATTCAATCGGTGACTTGGGACACCATAAATCTCCTAAGTGGCAACTCTGAATTAAATAATAAATCTCGTTTCGATTGTCCCTTAATTGGAAAAACTCCCTTTTACGCCCCTTTGCGGGGTGTATCTGAAAAAGGAGGTGTGACAGGCACCATCCGTGAAAAGAGTCCAAATTCTCGAGGTGGTCCTTGAGGTTAGCAATAATTCCCTTTCTACTTTGGGTATTAAGGCCGGCGTAAAGTCGGCCACGAAGTCTGCCAAAATTTAAGATTTTATGGCGGTTCGGGATCAATACTCGATATCATACCCGCTGAGTTCGACGGCCCATTTGGTCAACCGGCCCGAGAGCTCGGGTTTGTGCACGATATTCCTCAGTGGGTAAGAGGTCACGACACATATGGGGTGGCATTGAAAGTACGATTTTAACTTTATGAAGGCGCTTAGCAAAGCGAGCGCCAGCTTTTTCAAGTGAGTATTGTTATACCCCATTTTAAACTGGTTAAACTAAGGTACAACGTATTAGGCGATTCTGAATTTGATTAAAGTTAAGAGTCACCACCTAATTATTTCTAAGGAGAATTAGGGCACCTAAATTGATTAAAGTAATTTAATAAAGTATAACTTTGTTAATGGTCTACTTAACCTAAAAATTCTAGGTAAGGGTTCAATTAATCTAAAGGGAAGGTTTTTAAGGCACCCTTTAAGATCCATATTAAAATGGTTAATCGACCGAACTAAAATTTATTAAGGCAAAGTGTTGAGATAAGTAAAGTGATTGATTAAATTAATTAAAATAGTAACTTTCATTTGCGAAATCAAATGGTAGAGGCCTTGAAAAAGGACGATTTGAAGGATTTCAAATGATAAGAGCTGCAAAATTATTTTTTCAAAAGAAAGTTATCAACTTACTACAAAAGTGAGTAAAGGCCAAAATGCTTTCATCTTTGTCACACAAACGGATTAAGGATCAAATGTTAAATCAAACGTGATTTGTGGAAGACTTAAATGTCAATTTTTATTAAAACATTATTATTTAAAGTCACTCTATCTTCTAACGTATCTAAAGCTCAAGAAAACAAGTATAGATTATATAAAATAGTGAACTCATTTTTTGGTCAAATAGTATCCCAAAATTACGTGCTTGTCCCTTATCCTCGCATTGTAAGGTGCTATTAAGACAAATTAAAAGAGGGAGTAGGTAAAGGAGTTGGCTAGACCATTGATTTTAAAGTCCTCAACCGTTGCCATATCTCCATGTAACAAGTAATCCCATTATTAGCTTGAATATAAGTCCTAAGTGAGACTAATCGAAAGTTTTTTAATTAAAAAAAAAAAAGGACTACAATCTTATACCCAAAAAAGAACAGATTCGCAATATAGAGATCAAGGGAGAAACTAGCAAAGTAAAGATTAAAGTAGCATAATGGGTAGTCCCCACCGATATCCCATAAGGATGAATTTATGGTTTTCCGCCGTGAGATTCGACAATAGGATAGCACAAATAACGATGACTCCATGTGGTGCTACGCGGTCGTTCAGTCTTAAAAGTAAAACTTTCGGCTTCCGTGTTCATGCAAAAACAAAGAAAGAGCAGAAGAGTTAGAGAAGAACATATGCTTTTTAACAGACATGAAAGTCAGATAGGAAATATTGATCTTTCCAACTTGTATTAAAATAAATATGCTCACATGCCATGGTGACCAAAATATGAAGAATCAACTCCTACTAATAGAAAATAGCTTCTTAAGTAATATTTCAAGTTAAGATATAATTTATCTTCTATTGAGTATTATCCTAAAGTGTCTAAATTAAATGGGCAGACAAGGATATATTCTACAGTTTCTAAGGCCACTTTTAGATTATTAACCGAAGGATGTTAACAACAAAAAAGACTTGCAAGTTCTCATCAGTAGCATTCACTTCGTTAGCAAGAGTCTATTTCAAATGAGATATCAAATTCTATTGTTGTGGTTTCTTAGTGTTAAAAAAGGGTTGCAGAAAACTTGTTACTGGTGTATCTACATAGAAAAAGAAACAGAAAGCTAACACATACCCACAACTAGCCAACGCCATACTTTGAACAAAGTTTGTAAAAGAAAGCTAATGGCATGGTATTTCAGTTATCAAAAGTAAAAAAATGTAGAGTCATGTAATTTGTTATTTAGAGATACAATAGATCACCTTAAATATCTTAACAGATTATACCCTTTTTATATCCGTTATCTAAACAAGTGAAACAGTGGTCAGCTCCTATTAGTACTACTGACAGCAAAAACCAAAATCATAGAGAAGTACTTAAACTAAGCATGAATATTATTGTTGCCCACTGTCGTCATCTCTATAATTACCAAAATAACCCACAGGCTATGCTTTCTACCATTATTTTTACACTTCAAGAATATAGTTTTAAAAGTATTTTAGAACAAGATGGTTGTTAAGACATGAAATCCTAAAGAACATGGTTTATATTACATTTGAACAACGTCACTTCTTGTTGGGAACTGATTCAATTACTCTTTTAAGTTTATTGGCTGGATGAAGTTATTTACTGTGAGTTGAATAAGTCTTTTACTAGAGTTTACAGAGTCTTTAGGTTAGTTGCTATTTTTTCTAATTTGGTTGCTGTTTTTCTGGTCATTTCCTAGATTTTAGTTAAGTGGGTGTTATGGATAGATATTATCTTTCCGAGCTTGTAAGCCTATAAAAGGCACACCACTTTCCGTTAATAAAATAAGTCCTTCTACATAATATCTCTTTTAGCTTCCCTGCATCTTTAAGTTTTCTAGTTAAAGACAATCTCTTTTTCTACACTTCTTTGAATAGTCAAGAAAACAATAGCAAATAGCATGGTTTGATCAATAAAGTTTTAACACAGCCAACTTGAATACAACATAACTTAAAACGTTGATTCTTCACATCACTTTAGTATAAAAAAAATATCATCTGTACATTACACTACAACAGATAAAACATAAACCTAAGACATGTTTTTTCTAAGCAAATACAATTTCCTTAAGGGAAAGATCAGAACTAAAAAAAAGTTAGATTTTACCTGTTGTAGGGCAGTGAACTAGGACGATGTTGGCCTCGAATCTACTCTCTCATTATGGAAAAGATTCGAACCTCGATCGGAATGGTTCCAAAATCTCTGTCACGGCTAAAGTTCACCGAGACAGAAAAGAAAAGTTTTGTAAGAGAGTCTTGAGTTATTTGAGACTATATCAAATGTGATAGTGATAATGTAGTGTTCAAGAGGTGGCTAATTCTTATGTCTAGTCTAGGCGGCTAAAAAACCCCTCCTAAATGGGTTCTAACAGGACATATTTATAGTAGAAGAACTAGGGTCACAAATTTTGAGCAGGAATTTGAAATCAAGGGTTTGAATTATAGTCAAAATACCCGTTTGAATCGGAACGTTGCGATTCGGACAAGCCCTCATGTGATTTGGTCAAACAACTCGTGATTCGCCTCAGGCCTTGCCCGAAATTGTAATATTTGGTCTTACTTTTGAAGATTCACGGGTTGTAAGACACCAAAATACCTAGCCTGATTATAGAGCGACGAGATTGCACGAAATAGGGCGGATACTATATGTTCGAGGCTGATAAAGACCAATTCTTTAGCCACAAATAAACTTGGAGACAGAATAGAAATCTGCCATGGAAGAGGGGGGACTGTGCGCTGGAGAGAGAGAGAGGGGGAGAGAAAGACTTATTTTGTTCAATGTGTATTTTGGGTTTCAGTTGATGCCTGAAATTTGGGCTAAGATTGATTAATTCTAGTGGGTTCATCCGCTGGAAAATAGGTGAGAAAACTACCATGTATAACCCTTCAAAATTTTATTAGCCCATATTTTTTCACATGGACCCAAAATAGCCTTTAGGCCCAATGTATTAACAAGTTATAGTCACTATTTCCAATACATTTTCACTCTCTTTCAACCGCCTGCTTCTCCTCTCTTTTTTCATCTTCTCCGATCTTCAATCTTCCATCTTTTCCTTTCTTCTTATCTTTCCCTTCTTCACTCCCTCCTTTTTTTTCTTTTTTCTTTTCCTAGTGGGTTCATCCGCGGGAAAATAGGTTGGTTAAGTTAGATGTGTTTGGGCTATAAAATAGCTCAGAATAGATGGCATTTCCTTTCTTCCTCTGTATATTTCTTTTAAGCTTCTAATTTGGATTATATAATTTTAATGATCACTAGTAGTAGTAGTAGTAGTAGTAGTAGTTAATGGAAAATAGTATTGAAAAAAATAAGTATTTGATGTATTAATAACTTTGAAGCTCAAAGAAATTAATTGGAAGAAAGGAAGGACAAAATTGGATGTCAACAAGGATACTTTGTTTCGGCCTCGCCTAGAGTTCTACTGATATAGTAAATAGAAAATTGCGTACCTTCCTCGTCCTATGATGACCCAATTGGTCATCTTATAATTTAAAATCATATTCCGTATTTTGAGGACCTTAAAACCTTATTTTATCCCTCCTCGATTTGTGTGCGCAGTCCGGGCATGTTTCCGAAAAGCTTTTATGTTGAAGGTTGATGAAAATAATAATTTTTGCCTTTAAAAGTTGATTTAGTTGACTTCGATCAAAACGGGCTCGGATTCGTATTTTGACAGTCCTGGTGGGTCAGTATCAAAATATGGGACCTGGGTGTATGCCTGAAATTGAATTCGGAGGTCCCTAGCCCGAGTTATGATTTTTTGTTAAAAATTGTAAGTCTGAAAATTTAATGATTTTTAAGAAATTGTCAATGTTTGATCTTGTTGGTATCAGGTCCGTATTTTGGTTCTAGATTCCAGTATAGGTTCAATATAATATTTAAGTCATGTCTGTGAAATTTGGTGAGAAACGAAGTTCGTTTGACGTGATTCGGACGTCCGGTGGAGAAAATAGAAATTTCAAAGTTTTCTTGAGAATTTCATTTGATTTGATGCTAAATTCGTAGTTCTAGGTGTTATTTGGCGATTGGATCGCGCGAGCAAGTTCGTATGATGTTTTAAGACTTGTGTGCATATTTGGTTTGGAGCCTCGAGGGCTCGGGTGAGTTTTGGATAGGCTACGGAATGAAGTTGGACTTAAACATTGCTGATATTTGCAACTTCTGGGAACTGGCCTTAGATCTCGCATTTGTAAGACCAGGGTTTGCATTTACGAGCTACTCATCGCAAATGTGAAGAGTAGATGGGCCAGGCAGTCCTCGCATTTGCAAGAAAATCTTCGTATTTGCAAAGTTGATCTGGGGAAGGGGTTCTTCGCATTTGCGAAGAAGGTGGTCGCAATTGCGATCCCAGTTTCGCATTTGCGAACAATATGTTCGCATTTGCGACAGAAGCAGAAATGCGACAAGTTCGCATTTGTGATGCCTTTCTCGCATTTGCGAGCTTCGCAATTGTGAAGCTCAGGTCGCAAATGAGACATCAACAATTGTTAAAAGGGACTTAGACAGGATTTTTCATTAATTCTTTAAATTTTCAAAATCTAAGAGGTGATTTACCGAAGACCATTTCTTCCCCAAATCATATGTAAGTGATTCTAAACTAGTTTCTTTCAATCTTTCACTTCATTTTACAAGATTTCAACCTAGAATCTAAGATTTTCATGGAAAAATTGGGGATTTTTGGGTAGAAACTAGGGATTTCGAAATTTGGGGATTTATACCTCAAATTGAGGTCGTATTCCAAAACCAATTATATATCCAGGCTCGAGGGTGAATGAATAATCGGGTTTTGGTCCGAATTTTGGATTTGGACCAAGCGGGCCCGGGTGTTGACTTTTGTTCCCTTTTTCAAAAGTGACCTAAATTGAATTCCTTACAATTGTGGGTAGTTCCTAAGGCTTAAATTGAATTGTTTGGTTGGTAATTTGCTAGGTTCTATTGATCCGAAGGCTTGTAAGAAGGAAAAATCGGTGATTGAGCTTTAAATTTGGTCGTTGGAGTGAGGTAAGTGTCGTGGTTAACCTTGGCTTGAGGGATTAGGTATTATTTTCCAACTACCTACGTGTTTGGATGCTGAGTACAACGTATAGGTGAGGTGACGAGTACCTATGCGTTGTTGCCGAGTTATGGCATGTGAGTGAGTCTTATTCTTATAAATGTTGTATTCTTTGATCACATTGTTCATGTTTAGACTAGCTATTCGATGTGTTGAGCAATTTCTTATCATGTTTTACTGAATTTGGTATTGATAGAGTATTGCCTCAAAGTTGAGGTTGGTATTGTAGAACTAAGTGTTGAAGTAAGATTTGTTCTTGATATTCCTATCTCCCCATGTTCATTGTTTTGGTGAGGGAGAGTGTTAAAGCACGAAGGGTCATGCCGTGCAATATTTTGTGAGTGGGTGATAAATCACGAAGGATGGTGTCGTGCACGTTTTTATTATTTATTATGGTGAGGTTGAGTGTAAAATCACGAAGGGTGATGTCGTGCATATTTCTATTATTTTATCTGGTGAGGTTGAGAGTAAAAGCACGAAGGGTGATGTCATGCACTTTCTTTTACTATGTTTATCCATTTCTATCTGTTTAAGGTATATTGATTGTCCATGTTCTTAGTTCCGTTGTAATTCTTTGTCTTGTAATCCCCTCAGCATGCCCCCTTACCAATACTTCGTGCCTTATTTATTTAGTTGTTGTTATTAGTGTATATGTATTGATAAACTGCACAGGTTTGTTTGGGAGTGTCTTGTCCTAGCCTCGTCACTACTTTGTCGAGGTTAGACTCGACACTTACCAGTACATGGGGTCAGTTGTATTGATACTGCACTCTGCACTTTTTGTGCAGATTTCAGTACTAGAACATATTGACCCGAGTTGAGCTGCTGACTTCAAACCCACATGAGACCCAAGGTAGATCTGTCGGCATTCGCAGACCCTGGAGTCCCTTTCAGTTATTTCAGTTTACTGTTTCTTTTAGCTCAAAAACAATTGTACGTTTTTTCAGCCAGTATTTGTAGTGACTCTTAGAAGTTCGTGAATTGTGACACCAGATTCTGGGTAGTTGTGTATAATTATTTGGGTTATTATAAAATTCTGCACTCTTTTAATCTGTTATGGTTTAATTGTTGTTATTTACTGGATTGTTTAAGAGTTAGTGTATTAATCTCTAATTGTTGGCTTGCCTAGCAACTGAAAGGTTAGGCGTCATCACGGTCCCGACGATGGAAAATTCGGGTCGTGACACTTCCCTATCTAAGACACCACTTACCGCCACCTGAGAAATCGCCAATTAAAGGCATATCTGTTCGTCCGACTTCGGAGTATGTAGTAGGGGCGGACTTGATAGGTATCATTTGAGTTCTTCCAAAGCTTGTTGGCATTCCGGGGTCCAGGAAAAATTATTCTTCTTCTTCAACAGTGAGAAGAACTGATAGCTTTTGTCTTAAGACCTCGATATGAACCGGCCAGGGCGCTACCCGCCCGGTCGGCCTCTGAACTTCCTTGACATTGTCTACTACGGTGATGTCTTCTATGACTTTGATTTTTTCGGGATTGATCTCGATCCCCCGATTGGATACTATGAACCCAAAGAATTTTCCCAATGGACCCTGAATGCTCACTTCTTTGGGTTCAGCTTCATATTGAATTTCTTCAATATGTCAAAGGCTTCCTGTAAATGTTTCAAATGGTCCTCTGCTAGCAGGGACTTGACTAACATGTCATCAATATAAACTTCTATTGATTTTCATATTGTTCTTCGAACATCCGATTTACTATGCATTGATAGGTGGCACCAACGTTCTTTAATTCGAATGGCACTACATTATAACAATAGGTGCCGAATTTAGTGATAAAAGAAGTCTTTTTTTGGTCATCCGGGTCCAGCTGAATTTGGTTGTACCCAGAATAGGCATCGAGAAAGCTGAGTATCACGTGCCCGGCCGTCGCGTCGATCATTTGATCGATGTTAGGCTAAGGAAAAGAATCCTTAGGGCATGCCTTGTTCAGATCTTTATAATCTACACACATTCTTAGCTTATTTCCTTTTTAGGTACTACCACTACGTTAGTTAACCAATCTGGGTACTTAACTTCCCGAATGGACCCTATTTTATGGAGCTTAGATACCTCATCCTTGATGAATACATGTTTTACCTCGGATTGAGGTCTCCTCTTCTGTTTAACCGGGTGGAACTTCGGATCCAAACTAAGCTTATGAGTGGTTAACTCCAGCAGGATACCTGTCATGTCAAGATGGGACCAAGCAAAACAAGTTATGTAAGCTTTAAGAAAATTAATGTTTTTTTTCGAGCTCAGGGGTTAACCCCGTGCCCATGTATACATACTGATCCGGTAGGTGTTCGATCAATATAACTTGCTCCGGCTCTTCAACTGTCGATTTGGTGGCATCGGTATTATCAGGAGCTACAAATGACCTCGGAATTCTGTGATCATCCTCCTCGTCGACTCTTCGTTCCTCTGGTCCAGCCGGGACCGGCATCGGTGGTTGCTATTTAACTTAGGCCTTTATGGTCGGCTCAGTGTTCCTTAATGTCAAGACGGCAGGCATCGGGAGTACTTTATCGACTACGAACATCTCCTTTGCAGCCAGTTGTTCTCCGTATACCGTCTTGATTCCTCCTGGTGTAGGGAACTTCAATGTCTGGTGTAAGTTCGAAGGCACCGCCCTCACGTTGTGAACCCGTGGTCTTTTGAATAGATCATTATATCTCATGTCCCCTTCCATCACATAGAACTTTGTTTCTTGGATGGTCCCGGCAATGTTCACTGGTAGGGTTATCACCCCTTTGGTGGTTTCTTATGCCATGTTAAATCCGTT